CTTTCCTTTGTAATTTCAGTAATAGTCATGCTTAGAGCCTCAGAGCGGGTCAGCAGGTCCTGTTTACTCTCCTGGGAGATGCTTGACATTGGTCAGAGTGCATTAATGGTGGTTTGGTGTGGAGGGCCTGTAATAGCACTCATTGACATTGGACTTGCTGTCAGGGGAAGCATGGGTTTTAGAAGCTGTCATTAGCATTAATTGCCCCTAATGCACCATCATTTTTGACAGTAATGAGCTAAACAGGGAGGTTATTACTCTCAGCAGAAAGACTGCATTTCCTGGCGTTAAAACATTTTTTGAGGTGTATGTGGCGTGCAGTACAGGCAAAAGAAGGACTAGTTGATTCACTGTAAAGCAGGCTTAGCTGCATTTAAAGTGTCTAGACAAGTCCCTTTCTTATTATAAAAACTAATCCTGCAGTGTTAGTTTGAAGGAAGAAGCAGCTAACCAACAGCGATCCTACTCTGAACTCTTTACAACAGGGTTTTGAAAAAACCTCAGTTTGCTTTAAGAGAGTAGCATAAAAATGCTTTTCTTTTCAGTGTTTCCAGAGACCCATTTGTAATAAGATTTTAGGAGTGGAAGGACTTGTTTTAAATGGTTCCTTATTTAAGAACAGCCCTACGGTGTTTCTGTGCAACACAGAAAGCTGTAACTTAGGAGGCCTTTTAAAATTAGGGCTGAGAGCAAACCCAAAATGACTTGAGTTCACTGCAGTTTGCCCTTTCATTATTCCATGTGTCTGTACTGTGAATGCTTATAATGTCTTCAGAACAAACATACAGTTGAATCTTGATTAGCAGGCTTTAGTGACCGTGTTATTATTGTAAGTTTATAGTCAGGATTCTAAGTAAAAACCCACAAGTTGATGGCTTCCTTATCACTATAATTAGGATACACTGAGGAGCCTTACACAGGCCTTTAAACATGTTTGTGTTTATTCATCTGTTGAAAGGGAGAGTGATTGTCTTTTAAATCATATTTATTGGGTGGTACTTTTTTTTTGGCCGTACTGCATGGCATGTGGGATCTTAGTTCCCTCACCGGGGATCGAACCTGTGTCCCCAGCATTGGAAGCCTAGAGTCTCAACCGCTGGACCACAAGGGAAGTCCCTGAGTGGTACTTTTTAATACAGAATCGTTTATAAAGAAGAAAGTATTTGTCACACAAAGCCAATGCTCAGATAATCCCTATTTTATTTTTATTTATTTATTTATTATTATTTTTTGGCTGTGTTGGGTCTTCACTGCTGTGCGCGGGCTTTCTCTAGTTGCGGCGAGCAGGGGCTACTCTTTGTTGCAGTGTGCGGGCTTCTCATTGCAGTGGCTTCTCTTGTTGTGGAGCACGGGCTCTAGGCGCTCAGGCTTCAGTGGTTGTGGCTCGTGGGCTCTAGACCACAGGCTCAGTAGTTGTGGCGCACGGGCTTAGTTGCTCCGTGGCATGTGGGATCTTCCCGGACCAGGGCTTGAACCTGTGTCCCCTGCATTGGCAGGCAGATTCTTAACCACTGTGCCACCCGGGAAGTCCCAATCCCTATTTAAAAAAAAATAGGAGTAAAATATGCATGTAGTTAAAAAAATTCAAACTGCAAAAAGGTATATAATGAAACATTAGAGCCTTCTCTCATCCCTTCAGTCCAGTCCCTCTCCTTCGAGCAGGGGTCCCCAACCGCCAGTACCACTCCGCGGCCTGTTAGGAGCCAGGCCGCACAGCAGGAGGTGAGCGGCTGACCAGCAAGCAAGCCAGGCTTCATCTGCCGCTCCCCATCGTTCGCATTACTGCCTGAGCCACGCCATCCACCCGCCCACTCCCCCACCCCCACCCCCACCCCCATCCGTGGAAAAATTGTCTTCCATGAAACCAGTCCCTGGTGCCATATGGTTGGGGACTCGCTGCCTTAGAGGAATCCATTAGTAACAGTTAACTGTATATACTTTGAAAAAGAAGGATGCCCATATCATTGAATGTATGCATATCCTTTCTTTATTTACACAAAAGTGATCATTCTATGAACAGTTGTATTCTTTGCTTTTGTTACAAAGTAGAGGCTCCCAGCTTTCCCCTTGGGGTCTATTCAACTTGATGGCCTCCCCCCACCCCTCACCCCCCCACTCCCCTGCCATAATTCACCCAGTTGCCTGGACTCAGTGACAGGCGATGTTAAATATAATTCTGCCGATAGATGGCTGTGTATTCAAAAGTAGGAGGGGGTCTCCATATCAGTCCATAGACACCTACGTTGTTCTTTTTAATTGCTCCATAGTAGTTCAAAGTGTATGTGTATATATCATTATTTCTCTAACTAGTCTCCTCTTTATGGACATTTAGGTGGGATGATGATTTTAAAATCACATTTATAAATTAAGTGAGTGAGTCCTTAAGAGAATGACTCGCAGAAGTGAAGAGGGAATTACCTAGTTAATGTTGATGAAGATTGCAGAGTAATTACCCGTGAAAACAGATTATTTTTATAGCATGGAGTATTGCTAAACTCATGCTTCTCCTGAAACCGGAGGACTGCCTAAGCCCTCCTGCTACACATTTCCCACTCCCCAAACAAGGGCTGCCTGAGGCCGACTTGGGTCACAGTTCCTTCTGCTGTGCTTCCATAGCACTTTGTCCATCCCTGCATTAAAGCAGCAGCCTGGTCTGTTATAATTTAGCTTTGCCTTTATGCTTCCCTTTAGGACAGGAAGTGCATCTTGCCATCTCTGTCTGTCCCTGCACCTAGGTGTTCCAGATGCTCTAGGGGGATATAGGGAAGTGGTCTCAGTGGGGTGTTTTGCTAAAAATCAAAGCTCTTTGGCTACTTCTTTGCTTGAGCCTTCCACTCCAGTTTTTCTTCAAATGGAAGTGCCGTTAGTGCCTCTCTGGGTTGAGCTTTATAACAGCAAAGTTGGCTCTGGTTCCAAGCCCTGTATGAGTTGTGAAGCTGTTTGCTCAGCAGAGCGCCCAAGAGCCAAAGTGGAGGATACCAGCTCTCTCCTTGGTGGTTTATTCAACTTGAAGGCCATTTGTTCCCCTCCCTCCCCCACCCCCCACCGTAGTGCACCCAGTTGCCTAGATTCAGTGACAAGCCATGATGCTAAATATAATTCTGCCAATAGGCAGCTGTGTATTCAAAAGTAGGAGGTAATAATATGCTTATAGCCTTCGGTAATCTTTTACATTTAGGGTTTTTTTTTTTTTTTAAGCAAAACAGAACCCCTGTTCAACCTGATAATTGAGGTTGTTGTCACAAAATAGTTATTATGGAGGCGGTTAAAAGGAATTACTTGATAGCTGTCTTTATCTCTTTTAAATTTTTCTTCTTTGCCCTTGATTTGAGGTTCTCACACCTTGATAGTGCACTTCAGAAAAATGCTGAAGCTCTCCTTCAATTATTTGCCCAGCCTTCTATCTCTATTCCTTGATGCCTAACTTAGATTGTAAACCAGTGTATTTGGCAAGGATCTCTTTAAGCATTACATTCAAGCTTATCAAATATTTGGAAGTCTCACAGATATGTTTACACATTAAAAGTGCCTTGGGATTGCATAATTTGCACATTCAAACTTAGATTTTAAATAAAAAATTTAAATAAAAAATTTCCCTTGAGGTAGACTTTTAGCATGTTTTCTGTCTCTTTTGGAATTTTATGTTTATTTTAATCTAATTTTTAAAAATTTCTTGTTTACTAGCATTGGCTGGCCCCCCTTTGTGAAAATGTTTATAGGGAATGTATAGAATTTAAGCAACGTAAGAGTTAAGATGGACTGGTTTGTGCTTGTAACAAACTCCAAATCTCAGTGGCTTAAAACAAGTTCCTTTTTTGCCCATGCAAGGTATCTTTAATGTGTCAGCTGGAGACTCTGCTTCACGTTGCCCTTACTCCAGGACCCAGGCTGAAGTAGCAAGCTCCTCTGTAGGTCATCTATGTCCATGTCAGAGGAGAAGAGAATCACAAACCGACTCTTAAGCTTCCACTTGGAAGTGACACGCTTCTGGCCAGGGCCAGTCACATGGCCATACCTGACTCCAGGAGGGCAGGGAAGTACATTTCTGCCACATGTTCAGAAGGAGAAGCAGAAGTACTTGGTGGATGGCAGAGATGACTGCCATAGCTTCTTAAATCTTCCTGGGCAGACCTATAGTCTGCTTGGCACAAACTTAAGTGTTGGCTGGGAAGTTGGACAGGAAGGTGCCTAAGAACGTGGACTCTAAGTCAGGATGCCTGAGCCTGAACCCTGGCTCTGCCTTACTAGCTATCTGAACTTGAGTGAATGGCTTCATTGCTCTAATCTTTAATTTCCTCATCTGAAATAGCACTACCGGGCTTCCCTGGTGGCGCAGTGGTTGAGAGTCCGCCTGCCAATGCAGGGGACATGGGTTCGTGCCCCAGTCCGGGAGGATCCCACATGCCGCGGAGCGGCTGGGCCCGTTAGCCATGGCCGCTGGGCCTGCGCGTCCGGAGCCTGTGCTCCGCAACGGGAGAGGCCACAACAGTGAGGGGACCGCGTACCGCAAAAAAAAAAAAAAAAAAATGAAATAGCACTACCTTAGAGTTGTGGTGAGGATTAAATGAGATAATCTTTAGAAGGCCAGTGTCTTTCACATAGTAAGCACTCAATAAACATTAGCTGTCATTAGAATTGAGTACTTGTTGATTTAAATTATTTGAAGGTTACTACTTAAGGAGTTTCTCCCTTATTTATTTTAAAGTACACATGAAGATACATACTTTTTTTCTTTTTGTTTCTTTTTTAATATATACCATTCATTCAAGGCCAAAGAAAGGAAGAAGGGATAAGAATCAAGGAGTTACTTTTAGGCCTCAAGATGGAAGAGGTAGAAATACTACTGGGATGGGTCAGTTTTACTAAAATCATTGAAGACTCCTGTCCTAGGATTATTTTCATGCCTTTGCTCACAAGTAAGAGAAAAATTTGGATATGTATATTAATTCCTGGTATACTCACCAGCTGACTTGGCGATTTTCTTCTGTGTTTCACCCTAGCTTAGAGTCAAGATTTCCACTGAAGTTGGCATCACAAATGTCGATCTCTCCACTGTGGATAAGGATCAGAGCATTGCACCCAAAACCACGCGGTAGGTGGGATGCCTCCTGGGCACAGGGAGAATCCAGGCTTGAGCTGGGAGGAGCATGCCTAGGCACCGAGCCCCTTCAGATGTCATTTCTGTGTCAGCAGTGACCCAGCTTGTACTCCAGATGAAAGAGGCTGTCATTCCTCTGGCACTGCATCAGGGGTGCTGCTTGGCATCCAGACAAATTTGGGGGTTGTCTATATCAGTGATCAGTCCCTGAGCAAACTGTTTATTAACAGTCCACAACGAGGTAAGGAGCTTACCTCAGAATGTAAGTCTGCGTCAGTCAGCTGTGTTACCAAGCACATTATTTAGTTCAGATGACAGTTCTTTTTAAAACAAGACTATCTTTGGTTTTTCTTTTCTTTTTTGGCCGCATTGCATGGCTTGTGGGATCTTAGGTCCCCAACCAGAGATCTAACCCTTACCTTTGATAATGAAAGTGCAGAGTCTTAACCACTGGATCACTGGGGAATTCCCTAAAACAAGACTTTCTTAATGGAGGAAGCAGTGTATTAACTTATTTTCTGATGTCATCTCTTTATCTTCACAGTCTTGAACTTGCTTTTAGGGGCCTCACGTCAACTCTCTTTGGCCCACAGTGAGCCTGAAATCAGTTGTACGTCTCACAGATCCTTAGAAGTGAGATGGCAGATACCCAGCACTAGGGCTGTGAGTCCCTTTCTCAAGTCCATGGAGGGCATCACTGATCAGTCACAGCATTTGTTCCTGCTGAACTCAGAATCTTTTTTTTTTGGCCACGCCATGTGGCGTGTGGGATCTTAGTTCCCCAACCAGAGATCGAACCCGTGCCCCTTGCATTGGGAGCACAGAGTCTTAACCACTGGACTTCCAGGGAAGTACTTCAGAATGTTTTTTAACACAGACTTCTAGGTAACCATTAGTAATTGGTCAGAGTTGGGCCAGAACATTGTATGAAGCCATTTCTCAGCTCTCTCCCAGATCCTCACTGGGTGCGGGGGGAGGGGGCATCTAGACATCTGGGTGTAGTTCAGACCCCAGATTTACTCAACTGGGGTGGCTATAGATGCCAAAGAAAGTAGGGGAACCTTCGAGGCTGTTTTGAAGATGGGATATTAGCCAGAGACTAGAAGCTAAGCATTCATTCATTCCTTTTAAGTCACGTGGAAGGGCTAGGCTTTCTGCCTCTGGCTTGGATATTTTTATAGTGGAAATGAGAGCACTGTTGAGAATCCACTGAAATAATGTCTGTAAGAGTGCTTTGCAAAGTTTAATACTCTACATAGATAAAGAGTTGGTATTACTCATAAGTAAATATAAAGCCTAAGCATGAAACGTGGCCCTTGTGAGCTCTGTAATCATTTGGCTTGTTTTTTATCCCCTGGCCATCTTAATCTAAAGTCCCAGGAGATAGCTGTGAAAAGAACAGTTTTCTCATCAAGCCTGCCTTTTGAGAGAATGACTTTTTAAAGCTCAATTTCAGGCAGAAAAATAAATTGAAATGGTGTCCAGGAAAAAAAATGCAGCATTAAAAAAAGGAAAAAACTGTACATACCCTTCTGTCCTTTGCATCTCCTACCTCCTAGTCTCCCGACCCTGCTCACATATGCTGCTAACGTCGATCCTGTGATTTTTTTTTTTCACCTTGTGGTTTTGCCAGCGCCCTCCAGTCCGCCTGTGAGCTTGCACGGGGACGCGTGAGCCCCATTGGTGCCTGACTTGGTTGAGTTGATATCCTTAGGTCCTTGAAGTGAAAGCCTGGGGCATCTGCGCATAGCATTTTCCCCAGACCCTGATGAAAGTTTATTCTGTGCTTTTCTCAGTCCTGGCTTTATCAATCCAATTTGCCCTCAGGCCACAGACAATTCTCCACTCTGTCCACAACAGAAAAGTGTTACAATTGGGAGAGGGAGGATTAGGCAGTGAAGTGAAGTTTGTATTCTTCTCTCTTGTCTCAGAGATCTGCAGATCCTCCTCTCTGAAAACTTACCTTATAAATGTCTCTTTCAGGGTGACCTACCCAGCCAAGGCCAAGGGCACATTCATCGCAGACAGCCACCAGAACTTTGCTTTATTCTTCCAGCTGGTAGATGTGAACACTGGTGCTGAACTCACCCCTCACCAGGTCAGGAAAGAGCACAGACGGTTCTCTTGGCCTGAAACATTGATGTACACGATAGTTGTTGACGTGGTATATAACACTGAGTCGAGAAAATTCCGAATTCCTGCTTTCAGATCTTCACTCTGAACCCTGACAATCCATCGGGTTCTCCCACATGACACTCTGCCCCTCTTATACTGGTTGTAACCCTGAACCTGGAATGCACTCTTCTTTTAAAGAGATTAGCTGGCATAGAAAAGACATATTTAAGGAAGATTAGCACTTAATTGAGGCTTTTTTCTTTCTGACTAAAAAACATATATTAAAATAATTTTGAAAAAAGGAAAACCTAGGAAGTGAGCCCAAAGTATGCTTTTGTTCTGGCCAAAGCAGATTTTGTAGGAATCTGAAAACTAGCACTTTTTAACTCGTGCCTCCTTCATGTTATGAAACCAATAGGCTTCATTTCTGTTTTCCATATATAACATAATGATAATTATTATTTAAAAGATTTTCAAACCGTATCTTTTCCCCAGAGAGTCTGATATGGGCCTTGTCCTCTCAGACACCTCCTTTCCTGCCTCTGTCATCCCACTTGATTGAGAATAACTGCTCTGAGCCCTGCCCCATCCACGGTTGTATTGTAAAGGGAAGTTCAGAGAAGTACTTTGAATGTGGAAAGATAGGAAAGAACGTGGGACCTAGTGGCCTTGGTTTAGGTGCTTTGTAGCAGTACTTTAGCAAGAGCTAGCGGACTTGTGTCCATGCTGAGGGGCAGCTTCAAAACAGACCATGGAGGTGAGTGGACTCAACTTGGAAACCTTTTTGCTTTCTGTTTCTTGTAGCTGCAGCTACTGTGCTTGTGCCCAGGCCAAGAGTGGCTGCCGCCAGCACCGCCTTCCCGGCCCTTCTCTGCTTCTCCTCCCTCCACACCCAAGCTCCAGAGAGCTCGGTCAGGCCACTTAGCCACGACTAACTTTTCAGCCCCTTAGTACTTCCCAGCTCCTTCTCAGAATGACATCTGCCAGTGAAACAGCACAAGGGAAGACAGAATATGAAGAGAAGTAATTACAAGACAAAATTGGTGGGATTAGGGTTAGGGCAGGAAGAGTTAGTGAGGAAGTATAACTTTAACTGAATACTCCTCATCTCATCCAAGATTCTGTTTTGGAAACCCTGGCTTACAGACCTCCTAGGTAGAGATGACATTTTGTAGATGAGCCTGGCTGCTGCCTGTGCTTGGCTGTGACAGGAGGAATATCAGGCATCCAGGCTTCTAAATCCCATTCTTGGCCAAGACTGCTGGAGTCAGGAGGCTTCACAGCTCTGGGCCTCTTTCCCTAAATACTTAGATGGTGGTTCTTTGTTGCCCAGGTGTAAAGTAACAAATGAGATTTATGTTTTTTCTGTGGATCCAGCACTAGCTCCGTGACCATGGCAACTCATTTAAACTCCGTGCCTCATGATCTGTGAAATGGAACCGATCTACCTGCTTTGTTGAATTCTTTATTTTGAAACACTTGAAAGAAAAGCTGAGTGGATATTAAGTTTTGCTGCAGTTCTAATTTGCAGAAACCTTAGTTTCTTAGGCCATTGAGGGGATAAGGTGATTAGACTCATACCATCATTGATAAATGTTTGTTGACTAGCTAGTATATAGTGGGTCCTACGCTAAATGCTTTGCCTACATTATTGTGACTCTTGACATAGATATACCACATGTAGAAGTTAATCTTTCTATCTTAAAGATGCAGAAATCAAGGCTCAAGGAGGTTAAGTAACCTGCTCAGCCAATTAGTAGTGTAACCAAACCTGTTTGTCTTCAAGCTAGGCTCTCTCTGACACTGGGCTGCTTTGCTCGATTAGAACTCTGCCTTGCTATCAATCCCCAAGCCTTCTCTCCTAAATCTTTAGCTGGAGGCACTAGGAAATTGAAAATGAGCTTCTTAAAGTTCCACCTCATTTCCCTTCTTTTCACCCTCTGGTGAAGAAGTTAATTGGGCAGCAAAGTGGCCAAAAGGCTGGCAGAAAGAAGAAATTACAGCAACAGCAAAGGGCTTAAATCATCAACAAACTGGGCATTCGGCCTACAAGTCGTTGAGAATTGGCTGGACCCCTAAGTTAAATTTCTTATACTAGCAAAAAGTGATCTCTGATCTCTGAGCTAGTAAGCAGGGTGGGACGGCCACTCCTCCTGCTTTCTCGGGCAGGCCTGGCAGATCCCAGAGCTCCCACTGCGATGAAAGAACTGACAGCCTGCTGCCTTGTTGATTTGATGTTGGGCCCGGAGGGAGTTTTGAAATTATCAGATGAAGGCTTTCGTTATTGTTCTATCCAGACATTTGTCCGACTCCATAACCAGAAGACTGGCCAGGAGGTGGTATTTGTTGCGGAGCCGGACAGCAAGAACGTGTACAAGTTTGAACTGGATACCTCTGAGAGAAAGCTCGAATTTGACTCTGCGTCCGGCACCTACACTCTCTACCTGATCATCGGAGATGCTACTTTGAAGAACCCAATCCTGTGGAATGTGGTATGTGCCTCCATGTATCTTGACCCAGGCAAGAGTGGCTGTGCTGCAGTCAGACACAGACAGCTCCTCTCCAGGCCATGGGCTCCCTACCCTGGCCTCGCCCTGCCACCCAGGGCGCACGCATTGTGAGGTGAGGGGCTGTGTGCTGTCCCCATTAGTAGTCTTAGGGGCATGCACATGGCCTGGCACGTCTTAGGGGTTTAATAAATAGTGATTGAGGGAATGATTGATGCATAGATTTGTCCTCATGGGTTCTAGCAAATTTCTATAAAAGTTGTAGTAGAAGAAGGTTTTCATAATACAGCAAAGCACTATGGGGGGGGTACATAGATATGAGATAAAGCCTTTGAGATATGGCTTGGCCTCACAGTGTGGGCCAGGGAGGGGCCTAAGATTTGAAATCCAATTCCAATTCAGGATGGTGTGGGACAGTGAATTGTGGGATATGCAAAATGCTAATTAACTAATAACCAACAACTACAAGGTGTATTAATAGTTTACATAGTGTGTTTCACTTACATAACTCACTTTTGACTGGTGTGTTAAGAGAAAGCTTGAAAGACATGGCATTTGAACTAGGGAAGAATTGCAGGGGTTTATCAGAATAGTATCTGGGGGACTATAGATTGATTGCTGGGGGAACAGCCTCCAGAAAAGCTTGAGGTGCTTTCAGTGAGATATGAGTTGGGTCCATTTTGCTGGAGCACCTGAATCTGGTCCAGAGCAGTAGGCGGTAAGGTTGGAAAGGTAGCAGAGGCCAAACTGCAGGCCTTGAGTGGTTGGCTCCCTTTGCAAGACAAAGGGGCAGCTGCATTTTCTTATGTTGTATTCAAAGCTCCTTTTCTTCTCTTGGACTTTGGGCTGCTTTTTGTATGAGAGTACATTTTCATTTCTTTTTTTTTTTTTTTTTTGGGGGGGTGCGTCTGAGGCTAAATTACACTTCCTAGGGACATGGAGCAGTTTCTGATTGCAGCTGTAACAGCCTGAGTACCAGCTGGGATTTTTGTATTAGGCAGCTCTGTGGGGCTCACCAGACCAGTAGAAAATTGGAACTCTTGCTCTAAAAAGCATTTTCAACAAATACTTATTTTGTTCTTGAAATTTTTACTGCCTCAGTTTGTCGGCTAATGGATCAGAAGTGATTGGACTGCTTGGAGCTTTTTTCAGTTATGGTCCTGGACATGAGTTAGGAGATACTGTCCTGATGAGTTTCGCCTCCTTCTCTGCCCCTGTGCCTTTAATGGCTGCATTTATTTTTTTAGGCTGATGTGGTCATCAGGTTCCCTGAAGAAGATGCTCCGTCGACTGTCCTGTCCAAGAACCTTTTCACCCCCAAACAGGAAATTCAGGTAGATCCCAAAAGGGTTCTTCACTAAACATTGAAGAGAAATGTGAAGTGGACACAGTGAGAGAGGGCAGCAGACCCCTGGACACTGGCTGTGGTCCCTTCTTTAACCTGTTTATATGATGTTTTATAGTTTGGTCTTTGCCATCCTGTGGATCAGTCAGGGCAAATATCAGCCCCATCCTAGTGCTGAAAAAACAGGCTTAAGCTGCCCACTGACCAGCTCCCAGAAAACAGGTAGTTGGAGACAAAATCAGAACCTGAATCTGTTTTTCCTAAACATGCAGGAGGTTTAGCCCTCAGATCACTGCTTGATACTACAGCACAGATGGGTTTGGCTTTGTTCCTCCCTGCTCCTGCACAGACCAGGGGCCCACAGGTGGACAGCTCAACTGGAGAACAGGGCTTTCCTCCCCTAGGCAAGCCCTTCCTCTCTCCTGGAACTCACTTTCCTTGCATACAAATATTAGCAATCCCTGCCCAGCCCAGCCCATAGGACTGTTATGAGGATCAAAATAGTTCACAGATAAGAAAAGAAAAGCTTTGAAAAGTTTCTGAAGCAGTTCACAAAATAAACAATAATTATTAAACAGTTTGAGCACTGGTTAAAGAAACTGAGGTAGAGCCACTCGGTGGACTGTTTGCAATCGTGAGAAATGATCATACTGCAGTAACAGGGAAATCCCCATTTGAATTAATGTTGAAGTGTTCCAAGCAGATCACTTACTCTTATTTCACTGTTAGAAAAAGGACAAGGGCCCAAAAGCTAGAGTAGTAGGATTTCTTTTTTAAAATCCTCCTAATGTTGCTATAGCATCGTTTAAGAATGTCAAATGCAGTTAAATAGTGGAAGGTATAAGCATTATGACAGAGGGTGCTGACTGATTTATAGGGTGGAGTAGGCAGCAGTGACTGCCACAGGCAATGTTAGAAGTCCCTTCATGACAGTGGCAGCAAAGAGGAGCTGAGGTTAAAAAGCTGGGAACAGGAGTCTCAGGTGGAGGAGCTGCCTTGTTATGGAGCTGGGTTGGCTGGACACTGGCAAGCAAGAAAATTTTAAATTATTATACGCCAGTTAGCTAATTTAAGTTGGTTAGCAAAATATGATAGTGCTACCCTAGGAACCCAGAAGCATTATGAAATCCAGAGTCCTGCCTTGGGTGTGTCACCCCAGCCATCCAGATACCCGGGCACCATCTTCGATACTAGGCAAATGCTGCTTGATAGGTTGCATTCTCCAACCTCTAAACGGCAATATGTCTTGGAAAAAGAGAGTTGGTCAGGAGTAGTGAACTGGTGTAGTGTCTTTGGAAGCAGGCCTCTGGAAGCAGAAGCCCCTGTTGAGAAGAGGCGAAAGGCTAAGTGGCCACTCACGGCCAGGAAGTTTCAGCCTCTGGGAGGCATTTCCTCTTCTTGACTGTCATTGGCGTTTGGTTCCTAGTACATATACATGGCAGCCCCTGCTGGGAAGAGCACATTTTAAAATATTCCTGGCCTGTCTTCTTTTGGCAGCACCTGTTCCGCGAGCCAGAGAAGAGGCCCCCCACGGTGGTGTCCAATACATTCACCGCCCTGATCCTCTCGCCCTTGCTCCTGCTCTTTGCTCTGGTGAGTAGCTGTAATTAGCATGGGCAGCGTGTGTCTGGCGCCAGACTCAGCAGATGTAGCTGTTCGAAAGGAGGCTTTGTGCTCTGGCCTCAGCACAGCTCCAGAGGGGTCCAGCAGCTGTGACCCAAACCGATGGTCAAAAAATTTTAGAATAACTAAAATTCCCCATTATGGGGGAGCAGCCAGAAAAGCTGATCCATTATCAAGGGGCATGAGAAAGTACCCAGTAACCGTTAAAAATGGTAAAAGTGTATAGACGGGGATGCTCTGTAGGAACGTTCAGATGAGGTCAAGTGTGGAAAAAGCAAGACCGGATGCTAATAGCTATAGAAAAGGTGAGTATAGAGGCTGCGCATTTCAGCACTGTTTGGAGCATAAAACTATAAACAACCTAAAGTCCTCATAAAAGCAAGTGTTAAATAAATTATGTGCATCCATACAATGGAATAATATGCAGCTCATTAAAAGAATGGATAGGGCTTCCCTGGTGGCGCAGTGGTTGAGAGTCCACCTGCCGATGCAGGGGACACGGGTTCGTGCTCCGGTCCGGGAAGATCCCACATGCCGCGGAGCGGCTAGGCCCATGAGCCACGGCCACTGGGCCTGCGCGTCCGGAGCCTGTGCTCCGAAACGGGAGAGGCCAAAAAAGGGAGAGGCCCGCGTACCAAAAAAAAAAAAAAAAAAAAAAATTCAAACTGTACATTAAAGTATAAGAGGTAAAAATGTCCTTCTTCTATACTCCCTAAAAGGTCCCCTCCTTAGAGGCGACCAACACTAATAGATGATGCCTTTTCAAGGTTTTTAAACATAGAGCACTGTACTAAACATACTGTCCTACCCCTTGCCGCCTTCACTCAATAGAACATCTTGGCAACCTCGTCATATCAGTTGACAAGTACATAAATAATCTATCCATTCTTTTTTTGCGGTACGCGGGCCTCTCACTGTTGTGGCCTCTCCCGTTGCGGAGCACAGGCTCCGGACGCACAGGCTCAGTGGCCGTGGCTCACAGGCCCAGCCGCTCCGCGGTACGTGGGATCTTCCCGGACCGGGGCACGAACCCGCGTCCCCTGCATCGGCAGGCGGATTCTCAACCACTGCGCCACCAGGGAAGCCCTCCCTTGTCTCTTTTTAAAAAATTATAAACATAGATGTAAATCCTCAAAGTTCAGAGAATTTTGAGAACTGTATGGAAAACTCATTAGATCTTACTTTTGGAAAGTTGCTTGTGTTCCTAATTCATTCATTGATTTTAATAAAAGAATTATTGGTCAATCTAAATCTGGAAGGCATGCCACAAGCTTTCAGAAACCAGACTTAGGATATGGGCACCTGTTCTTTTTAGTGATCAGAATTTCAAAAAGCATGGAACCCACAGCAAGAGCATGTGCATCCTCCCAACTGCTGGTGGGTTTATCTCACCAATACTTAGAGAAATTAGCAGGGGTGCCCGTTACTTCATCACAAATACAGTTTCTGACCTTTCAGCCTCATGGTTTCACCTGTTTTAAAATAGAAAAGTTTGCTGTCATTAAAAATGATGTTCAGGTTTGAGTTACCCAAGCGCATTTGAGAGCAGGTGTTGGAATGCCTTTCTAAAGAAAAAAGAGAACAGTTTTTTCTGAGGACTTATATAATAGGGTGGTTGTCACTTGGAAAAATTCCCTGTTCTTCAGGTACGCATGAACTTTTAAGCCCTTAGGGCTGTTTATTGGATTAGCATTGGCATGGCATGTGTTGCCTCCCTTTCAAGTTCTAATGTCTTTTTAATTTATTTCTCCCCATCGTTCAGTGGATCCGGATTGGTGCCAATGTCTCCAACTTCACTTTTGCTCCTAGCACGATTATCTTTCACCTGGGACATGCTGGTAAGCGCCCCAGGCTGCTAACTCCATTTAACCTCCTTTGACATTTTGCCTGCCCTCGCAAAAGCCCTGTTAAGTAGACCCACAGCCTATTAACTATAATGACTTAATAGCATAACATTTCCCTCTTCCTCCTGGCCTTTTACGACAGTTAATATGATGATAAACCTGTTTGGCCCATCAACTTAGAACAGCTGTCATTATATTGGGTTTCATTGTACTAGGCTGCCGTTGGCAGGCCGTTTTACCCTCATTTAATAACTCTGTTCATTTCCAGAGATTACTCACTTATCGTATCTTTACATTGAGCCATCTTCCTGAGTGAACAGCATTAATGCAGTTTCCAAAGGTTATCTTCCCCCAACGTATTGATCTTCACATTTGCTAGCAGCTGTGTCTGGACTGTAGTAGAAAACAGTCCCTTCCACAGTCAGACATGCTGTCCTGCATTGTTCTATTGAAAACTTAGGACCTAACTGTTACAAGACAGTAAATTCACAAATCAGGCGTTTCAGAAACTTTCGATGCTATTGAATTGGTGACCCTTGCATTTCACTGAGACATTAATATTCTTTTCTGATTTCTTTGACTCTTTCAGGAGTCACCCTTTTTGTGTCCATAGTGTGCTGATTCTGTAGGGATCCACAGACGAATCCCTTGAAACTCTAGGCAAATGTGTATCTCTGTTTTCCTGGGGAAAGAGAGAGTCTGTAACTTTGATCAAAATTCTGACAGTGGTCCACGACCTCAGAAAGGGCTAAGAACCCCTGCTGTAGTTCATCTGTCATCCTTCTGGGCAGAATTGACAGGAAGGCCTTTCTCTCCAGCCCAGTTAACTGAATTTGAGTGATAGCCCTCCCAGGTCAGTCTGAGAACAAAACCTGAATATGAATTTGTTTAGAGCCATGACTTTTTTTGCCAGAGTGCTTTTTGTGTACATTCCCTCATTTGATTCTCATCACAACCCTGATGGGGGTGACCAGGGTAGGAATTATGCTCCTTGTTTGATGGGTGAGAGAATTTAGGCTCAGAGAAATTAAGTGGCTGCGAAGGGCAGAGCCTGGGCCAGAACCCAGGGTCCTCAGTGCCCAGACCTGAGCCCTTTTGACTAAACCTTCCTCCTCTGTCCTCCTTGCTTCCTTCCTAGTCACAGTGGCAAATTAGCCCTAAAAATTTTTTTAATGAAAAGAAAAATGATTCATTTCTTTAATCCTGTGGGCTTTCATTCAGAATTTAAAAAATCAACTGAATCCCAAGTATAACATGACATAACTTAAAAAACAAACAACAACAAAACCTGCGTTAAAGAACAAAGATGCGAGCTGGAATATGGAACCAAGTTGCTGAGATCTGGTTTTTACCTGTGGATTTCTTGGTAGCCAAGGCTGAGAAGCAAGTATATTGAGCTGTTTATTTTCTGGCATCAGATAAAGGGAATAAAACATGCTGGTCTATAAATACAGACCTCTTAGGATCTGCAGTTACTGGCTTCTAACTGTCCTCTGCCCAGGGCAATGTCACTGTTTGACTTAATTGGCTATCATGACGCCTGTTCTCGTAGCTATGCTGGGGCTCATGTATGTCTACTGGACGCAACTCAACATGTTCCAGACCCTGAAGTACCTGGCCATCTTGGGCAGTGTGACGTTTCTGGCTGGCAATCGCATGCTGGCCCAGCAGGCAATCAAGAGGTAAGGTTGGGGGCGGGCCAGGGACCCAGAGTGGGATTAGAAATACTGTTGTCAGCTCTGTCCACCCAGCTCTTTGAACAGCGGTATGTGGCAAAATGATTCATGTCCTTAGGGGCCAGTGTGACACCTTAATCCAGCCCGATACAGAAGCCTTTTAAATCAGAAAAGAGCCTTGGTGATAAGTTTTAAATACGTTAAAACCACAACAGTTTATGCCCCGGCACATTGAAACAAGAGAAGAAAATAATTGCTTTATGAAGATTAAAATGGGTTAGGACAGGGGGCAGAAGGTGGTTGTTAGCGTGCTGGCTGTGTAACAGTTTTCTCCTCTGCTGCCACAGAAAACCCTTTTCTGCCCTCCTTCCGCACCCCCGAGGAGGACTCTTCTGTAACCACCACAGCCTCCCGGAGCTCTTCCTCCTAAGTATGAGGTCCATGATCTTCCCCCCAGAAACCGCGTCGGGCTTTACACTGAGCACTGCTCAGTGGCCTGCATCACATCCCCAAGAACCAGACAAACTTAGGTTCACACAAATGGTCAGGTCCCCCCGCAATGGCAGCTTGCTGGCAGCTTGACTTTAGAACCTGGCTTAGAAGCAAATTTAAGTGTCACGTAGGTATTTCTCATTGATTTAACTTTATTAGAACTTGGGTGATTTCAGCCACATAAAGGTCAATAAGAAAAGGTCAGAATTGCTTTCACCTTTGGAAGTTCACAATTTCAGACGTGCCCTACTTTCTCCTCTCCAGGACTTTTGGTGGAAGAATGTAACACGATAGTGTTAGCCCGCCGCCCCCCCCCCCCCCCCCCCCCCCCCCCCCCGCCCCCGCCCGCGGGGTCGGGACCTACGGAGAGGCTGG